AACTGATCTATTCGAGTCTACGGACATTCTTATGTAACGGTGTTTCAACGTAACTTCATTTATTTCTCCTGATCAGAAAATCATGAAATTTGGATAACTGTGCTGTCTTTTATTTGCCGGCCAAATACATATTGTTTATAATTAGTAAGCTCCGATTCTCTAACGAATCAAATAAGAGAATGCGTGAAACTCTGCCAAGACATTGATGTCACTGCTAACGCTGGAAATAACAACTAAAGTAAAAGTAGGTAACTCATTTCTTAAAGCTCATTCATATCGCAAAATATTAAAACTTTTTTTTTTCCTCGAACGGCGGGCACTATTTTGTCTTTTTTCAACATTGGCTATTCTTAAGGCCAGAAGTGGTGGCCATTTTATTGTGGAAGCACCTCATAGGCGGTCATCGTTATCTTCTATGAAAGAAAGGACAATTACAACCATGCCTTCACCGGGATTTGAACCCGGGTCCCCCTTAACCGCTATACCATCTGGGCGGCAAAAAAATCTTAAAACTAGCATCAAAATAATTCCCAGAATACAAATCATAAAATTAGATCATTACAATATGGTTTATAGCATCCTGTTCATTGCTATTATCGGAATCTTAAAATTCACAATTTTAAATACACAAAAGTAACGCCTTACCTTTTTACAAAATAAAAATCTTAACTCTTAGGACTCTATTTTAAATTGCTTTACAAATCCTTGCTATCCACGGTTTCAAAATTCAATTAAATAATAAGAGAGTAATTCAATTAAACATTTTAATATTTTACAGTGTTTTCAAATACTGAGTTAGTATTTTTATGTGCCGCCCAGACGGTATAGCTGTTAGGGGAGCCTATTGAGGTACCGAGGACCCGGGTTCGAATCTCGGAGAAGGCACAGATGTTTAGGGGTAGTCACTCTAAATATATGGCGAGCGAAAGTCCTCTCATGTAGATTGGTGGTAGGGGAGAGGGTGGGAGACCCTCGGACTATAGCCCCCGGTTGCACTTCCTCAAAATTGGGGTGGAAATACGAGTCCACCTTCCTTGAGGCTCTGGTAACCATTCTTCCATGAAATTCATGGACCATAAAACAACAACAATTAGCATAAACATTGTGATAAATATGCCAGAAGAGCAAAAAAATTAACCATTTTTACAATTTCATGCAATAGAAAACTTTAGAGGCGAAGAGCCAATCTGGATAGCTTCGTCAATGTACGCCCCAAATATAAATAACACAACGTAAAAAAGAAGTATGGCAATACTAAACACTCCTTAAACGTAAACATTAATCAACTGAGTGTATCCTCTTAGCAAAGATTTTGTAGCGGGAAAGAATTAATTATTTTAAATTCCGTTCATAAACATTAATTTTAAATATAATGAGTGATGGTAACTGCTTAGTGAGCAGGATTCAGAAATATCCTTCATAACTAAGATGAACAAAATGAAATTGATATTTTATCGAAAGAAATCACAGTTTATATAACAAGGCAAACAGCTACGTAAATAGCTTTAAGAAAAAGCATATTCTTAATCCTTGTAGAATATCAAAAATCGCTAATGGCATAATCACATCTAGAGATGCGCGGCGGAATAAAAAAAGTTTCCGAGATGCGTGTTTTTCACAACAATAATTTGAACAGGACGTTTCTACTCGTAACACTTGCGTTGAATAACCTGTTGTGCATAGGTAGCCGCAATATTTTACGACGCCGGATGAAAAAATACGCCACCAGTTCTGTTTGGCGTAGGAGAGGAAGCAATCAGTAGGAAATCTTTCTTTGTATTGCGAGGAGTGTTTCTCAGAAAATTTTCTAATTGCACTTCGAATGATTTGTTAAGAGTTTTACAAAACAGTAATTAGCGAACAAGAGTTCAAGTATAGTCGTACGATTCTGAATTGAGTAACTTGTCTGATCGCTCTAACCAAGCCGCTATGTATAAGATAGCTGGAGTATTTCTGGAAGCTTTAGAAAAATTCCCTCCTAGAGATTCTACTAAGGGTTGCTCTTATCTGCCAAGGTCAAACAGCATTGTGACGTCGACATCCTGCTCCAAAGCAAGGTTTCTCTCATTTCTATGAGTAATGTGACGTCACTGAGCAGATAGCTAAGATAACTGGAAAGAGAAATGCTTGACCTTGAAACAGCATAATCTTTTCTGTATTCTACGATGTCATTTTTCGGAACTACCTGCATTCAGCCATTTTATCCACTTGGTCATCGCTAAAGGGAAGAATCCCGAGATGCTGACTTGTGACACGAAACTGAATTAAGAGGGAACTGTTTTTATACTGGAGAGAGTATCCAGATAAATCACGAAGTAGTATTTTGGGAGGCCTTAATTAATCCATCAAAACTTTTGAATGGAAAATACAAATGGCAGTGAAATTATGATCTTAATGCCATAAATAAGAAAGAATTCCCCAGCGAGAAAGAAATATGTTAGAGATTTATTTATTTATTTTACTGCTTGGGAAGACGAAATTTTTCAATTTATTCTAAAATACGCTCTCCAATAAAATTCCAAAAAGTGCATTCTACTTCGAAGTTTCATCAAACTTACTGTAAACATATATTACTTGCTGTGAGAGGACTTTTTCTAGATACAAATCGGTTAAGAAGCACTTGAGACTCAAAATCAATATATCTTGTATTTGATAACACTGTATTGCTTAACAGAGCTTTTATTCATTTCCCTATATGTCGTTTTAACATTTTATAGTTTTGACTTTTTGATTGTGCATTAAAAGGGACCGCCCCGAGCGGGAAAATTTCTAGCTATGCCACTGACCCAAAAGCGGCGCCAGATGTGCTGCGAAAGAAGGCGAGATGCGCCTCAGTCATAGTGCTTCAGATACATTTTTTGTTGCTAAGACCAGCGCGAGAAGACCATAAGTAGGATAACTTGTAATAAGTTTTATAAAATGTGGGTCTTCGGAGAAGAACTGATAAAACAATTGCCATGTGTAATTTTCAACCTCTGGCATTTTCAGCTGTAGTGCGTTTTATGCAGTTAATTTGAATTTTATTTTTTGTATTTTTTTAAAAATCTAGGAGTCTTTAATCACGGGCAGGCTTTGAAAGCCACAGTTTGAGAGACGTTGCCGTAGAAAAATATTATAGTTATCTTATTATAGAAGTCTAACAGCAAAAAATAAACGTTATATTTGCAAATTTTCACAGGACTAAATTCCGAACCATCAACCTCAGCGGCCAAAGTGCAAATGGATTGGATTGGATTATTTAATTATGGCAAAGCACACGAGGGCTATCTGCCGAAAGGGAGGGATGCCTTCGTGGAGGACTTTCTAAGGGAAACTGGCTCATATACACGTTACACATGGGGAAAACCACGAAAACGCCCATGCAGCCAGCCCGTTCGCGGGATTCGAACCTCGGACCGAACTACCAGTGTTCAGGGTCTTTACCGCTCCACCGCTGGTGGGCCCAAAAATGCAAATGAACGAAATAAGATAAGAATGGTTGGACAGGAGTTAATCTACTGGCGCCATCTATTGATGGAAGAAGAAAACTAAAACATAATTTCCTTAAAGGCTGAAGGTAAATGTGGATTAGAATTACGGTTGTTAACTAGAACAGAAAGATTTTTTGAAGGTGAAACGCCTTTAGAACATCTAATTCAGCAATGGAAGAAATTTTTTGAATAATTTTGGCTACAGAATAATGAAAAGTGTGAATTTCCCACCAACAATGCTGGGCAATAGAAGACTTCTGTGTTTCCTTTTTCCTAACATATGCCTCACCTTCCTTAACGCAAAATTTTAAAGGCTCTGTTAGTTTCACCAATGTAATTTAAACCACACTGGCAAGGAATCCTGTAATTATCCCAGGAATTCATATCCGGAATGGGGTTCTTAAGTATGGAACGCGGAATTTTATTGATAGGAGAAGAAACGGCCCGAAAGTTAAATTGGCAGCAAATTCATTTGCACTTTAACAGCTGAGGTTGATGGTTCGATAAAACCATCGAAACTAATCCTGTGAAAATTTGCAAATATAACGCTGATTTTTGTTGTTTGACTTCTAAATTAATATTTGTTCGGCGTGTTATTTTACCTTAATTATAGCTGTCGTTGTAGATGTAATTTCCTTATGTCATTTTATCTGTAAAAACAATAATAATAGTAAACCATTTAGTTGCACTCACTAACCTAAAGTTGTTATAGCGCCAAAAACCTTTCTGTAGAAAGATATATTATGCCAACGCTAGTATTGACTACCATTAAATCAAATGTACTATTTTGTTAAGGTTGTCATCATTTTTTCAAAGCAAATATTTTCAATAAAAAATTTCTTAAATGTGCATTATACCATATGTTCCTTGTGCATTTCCCCCTCCTTTTGACTAATTTTACCGTCCAAAAATCGGGAGGGGAAATTTATGTTGTAATTTAATGTCTGATAGGCGCGGTTGCAATAAAACCACAATAAATGAAATGTAATCATGGATAACTACTGGTAACTTTTGCAGTATTATTTCTTTAAAATAAACGTACATTAGAATAAGAATACGTGGTAATATTAACATTACACTATCTGACGGAGACCGAGCTGGACACTTCTCGCTATGGTTAAAAAAATTGCAAATAAAGTTGAAAGAACTGAATACAATTAATCAAGGGAATAGTCAATAAACTAGTCCTCAGAGGGGGAAACTATGTACAACAGAGGAAGGGGGAAATTATGCGAATATTTGTTGAATTTTCAAAAGTAGTGCTAGAAATATAGTGGACAAGATAAGCAAGGAAATATAGTATTTTATTCGTTGTACATAGAACTAACTAAACCAATAGATATATTTCTTATCTGAAGAAGAAGTTCACCACAGTCGAAATGCATTGATGGCGAAAGCCATGTTTCCTCACTGGAAATTTCGATTTAACGCATATATCTTTCTGGACAATTTTATTTGAAGAATGTTATCATGTAATGTAAAAATTCTCATTTATTCTCTTTGCTTAAAAAGTTAAAACATATTTTGCAGAGTACAGCTGAAGAGTCCAAACTGTTCTGCCGCACAGAAACACGTAATCATCCGTACTTGCTTCTGCGACCGTTAAGAATCGAAGAGAGGAGTATTAAGCCTTACGTGGTTGTGTTCCACGACTTGCTAACAGAAAATCAAACTGAAATTCTCAGGCTGGTTGCAGAGCCCAAGGTATGTGCCCTCATTTACAGAACCTCTGACTTCCTTTCGTTTAAAAGTTTTTCTTATTTGCCCAAAATGCTGTTCATATTAAGCCTTATGTGTTGTGTTCCGCTATTTGCTGACGGAAAATCAAACTGACATTTTCAGGAAGATTGCAGAACCAAAGGAAACGTAAACTGAAATTCTTAAGCAGATTGCAGAACCCCAAGTAATGTGTCCTCTTTTACACAACCTGTGTTTGCCTTTCGTTCAGAACTTTCTTTCCTTATTTTTGCAAGTTTTTTGTGTAATATATTATTTATTTATTTTGAAAATGCCTGGAATATTTTTCACGAAATCTTTCAAACATTTTCAAAACTTGAGCTTATATTGCGTTACATTACCATGCATTATTATTATTCTGTCCAACAGGCGAACTTTGCCATTGAGTAAACGATTAGGTTTTCAATTTATCTTCTAAGCGGATTTGGAAAGAACCAAATTCCAAAGTGTTCACATCATGAGATAACATAATTAATTCATCTCTTAAATTTTAATTGCACTGTTTAACAATCAGAGCAGTTTTACAAGAAACAACGTACTTCTTACAAATTTAAATATCTATTTTATTTTTCAATAGCACATCTAAACGACGTAATTTTACTTGTGTTTAAGTCATTATATACCATTTCCACAAAAGACCTTACCCGGCCTTTATTTTAGCAAGGCCATTGGCTTAGATATATACGTATATAGCGTGGTCATAAAAGACTTTTCCGATATATGAACCCCAAGCGACCTATCCGCTCATTCGCTCGAAATTAAATTTTAGGTATTGTTATTTGAAAGTATGCACTCAAGATTGAGAAAATTTGAAACAATAGAAATCTCACGGTTATGGTTACAGTGAAAACATTTCGAAAATTTCGAATGGCAACACCTCTCTTTCTTTCTTTCTTTTTTTTTCTTTTTTTTTTCTTTTTTTCTTTTTTCTTCCCAGTGCATTGGAGAAACATAAATGGCACTGAAACGATATATATATATATATATGATGAAAATTTCCGGCGTAAAACATTTGCAAAGAAGAGTATTGTAAAGAACCAATGACTACACAAGAAAAGAGAGAGAAAATAACTTTTATTGGAATTACAAGTTTTCAACGTGCCCGCTTTCGCAGATGATAACGCACTGCATGCGACAGATTGTTAACAACAATGACGGACATAATATCGCAGGCGGAACCTGTATAACTTCACGTTTTATGACATCTTTCATTTCTGACAAATCTCGTGGATTTGACGTGTACATCTTAAATTTCAAATAACCATAACCAGAAATTTATGGAAGTGGGGTCGTTGGATCGCGGTGATCACGAAGCGGCGAAATTACGGTATATAATTTTATCTTGAAACGTTATACACTTCGAAAACTTGTAATTTCAATAAACACGTTTTCTCTCTCTTTTCCTGTGCAGTTATCGGCCCTTTATACTGCTCTTTTATATAAATGTTTTAACATATGTGTATCGTTCTAATGCCATTTATGGTTTTTCAATGCGCTGATGCATTTGCGCAGGAAAAAGGTGGGTGTTGCCATTCGAAAATTTCGAAATTTGTTCATTATAACCATAACCGTGAGAGCTGTTTTGTTTCAAATCATCAGAAGCTCGAGCGCACACCCTCAAATAAAAACATTGAATTTGAAATTGAATTTAGATATGTTAAGCAGTTAGGCTTATACCCTGTACAAGTTTATGACCAATCGTTGCGAAAACAAAGGACGGGTAATGACTTGTGTGGACAGCAGAGTATTCCATTTGAAAATATTTACTGAATAGTTTATTTGTAGAGTGATTGTAGATAATGAAACCTATTTCTCTACATAATCCTAATGTCATTTTCTAGTTGGCTCGATCAATGGTGCAGGCGAGCAAAGGCAGTGAAATCGTCTCTGTGAGCAGGACCAGCCAGAATGCGTGGGTGGGCCCCACAGACCACCCTCTGATGGCTAACGTTTACAGACTGGTGGAAGCCGTGACTGGACTATCCACTGACGTCGAGCAAGACCATGCAGAAATCGTACAAGTAATTAGAAGCCTCGTTAAGTTCCTTACATCTTGCTAATAATACATATTAAGCGTATATAATAAACCTTTGCTGAACGCGGATTTTCAGAATGCGATTTCGCATATTCGTTTTACCGTAACTGTTTCCATTTAATTTTCCCAGCGCTAGAATTTTATTTATACACGAGGCAACATTCATTCATGAACACTAAATGCTTGCTGGCATCAGTTCTGGCCGGAAGTTATCAACAATTTTGAAAGACTTAAATCCATTGGAAATGAAGCCAAAAAAAAAAAAAAAAAAAAAAAATCATACAAACTGCAATAGCCACTGGCGTTGAAGAATTTTCAGATATGGAACAAAGAGAGGTCAAAGAATTAATGTCTGTACTTTTAAAGTATGTTTCTCACAGGATATTCTAAAATGTTATTATGTTCAATACTGAGCATTCGTTACAGAATTGTAATACACAGTAGTAACATTTTTTACCCCCTTCTCCCATGTTGTATGTATATTCTTTACACGTTTCACGGTTCACGGGAATACCATTAACGTTGATATTTAATATTTTTTTCCAATAGCAGGCACTTGCCTATAACGGCATTGGCCACTCCTAAGGCCTTAGGTGGAGACCATTTTCAAGAAACCTGATAGGCAGCCACCGTTACCTCCTATGAAGAGACAGACAATTTTACATTCATTGCCTTCTCCGCGTTTCGAACACGGGCCCTACGGTATCGCAGGCAGGCTGCCCTAACCACTATACCGTCTGGGCGGCTTAACATTTAATATACGACAGCTCATATACATTCCATTCCCTGAACAGCTGTTAAACGCGTCGTTAATTATCTTGAGCCACCTTAAGTAGTTTATTGTGGTGTAATCTCAGACTACATTAGGTCTGCAAGACACTGAAATCTAGTTAGATCCAGATATCTTTTAGATATTGCAGAACCGTACCAATCGTGATCGTCATTTCTATTATGCGATTAACTGGATGTTATCTGCATTTGGGTATACCAGAATGCTTACTGATAGCACAGTGTGTGAAAGAAATCAGGTAGATAATTGCTCGGCTCGCTACCATTATCAAATCCCTTTGCGAAAATATGTCAGTTAAAATCTGCCATAGAGATCTGCAAGGATTAGATTTCTGGAGATTCTGGATCCTTGCAGATGGTTTGGAAGAGTATCTCCATCGAAACTTGTCACTAAGTTGGACAGGATAATGTGGAAGAGATGACACGCTAATGTGATGTCTTTAAATTTTATATCTTGTGATTTGTCGAGGAATACTATCTTTATGTCATTAATCTCCAGAAATCTAATCCTTGCAGTTCTATCTTGATATCTATAGCTAAATTTTGCCGCCTGGGGCTGGCACTGAAATTGTCGCCCGTTTTTGTATACAAACATAATTGCAAGAAGACATGTAGAGAAGTAAATTAAAACTTTTGCGTTTATTTCTGAAGAAAAACTTTAGTTCCAACATTTTAAAATTGTGTTATTATTTGGCATTTTCTTAAATTTATTAATTATTTGCGCAAAACTTATTGATGACATTTTAGAAATCCAGTTGATTGTTTCTGATTGTGGAGTAAGATATTTTAAATCAAAATGTACATTTGTAGCTCTTAAATAATTCTTAAATGACTTCGCTTAGAAAACGCTTCTCACAACTAACGTGCAATGATGCGAGGATTTCTTTAAATACTTTACCTAGAGTAGAAACTGTTTTTCTTCTCAGCTTAATTCCTCATAGAATCTGGTTACTTTGTAGCTGCCTCCACGATCCGCCTGAATAACCCTTATAAATAATCATTCACGCAAAATATACCTTCCCTAAAAATGTGCAAAAAATCACTTCTGAAGAAAAAACTTTTCATTCTAATATTTTAAATTCATTTTATTTTGCTTCTTCCTTTGTTCACAAAACTACAAATGACATTAGAGATCTATTTAATTGCTACTGTTGCTGTCACGATGTTAGCAGAGAAGGATTTCTTAATATGCAAAATATACATTTGTAGTTCTTAAAAACCTCTTAAATAATTTTATTAATTCTAGCTAACAACACTTATAACAATGAAGAAGAAAGTTTGCAGTGATACTACAATATTCGGAACTTTGTTTTGAGGTTTGTATTTTAGAATAAAGAGCCCTTCCCCCTTCCGTCAAAGGACTGCCCTTCCACCTTCCCGTTTCGATTTCCCTAGCAGTAACGGAAATAAAACTCTCAAATGCTTCTTTCTTAACATGGAATTCTTCCTTATGAATGACACCGTGATCATAATTAGCCTGATATTAGTAATTTGCTTTCAAAAATTTCTACAGAATACCAATAGTACGTAACTGTTGAAATCACACAGGGATACATAGAAAATATATGTGAAGTGAATGTAGGAAGAAACAGTTTTCCGCACAAAATGTTTCTTCATCGCATTGCGACAAACGTAGACACATTTGAGTATTCGTGAGATATGTAATAAACTTTAGTGAATTTGCTTGTTTCAGTGTAATACAATTACGTTGCGTAGCTGTTTTGTTATGAACTTTTATCTCTTTCATGACTAGTGCCGGTTATATCCGACATCCATAAATGTTTGACAGTTATATCCGGCCAAAAGCGTCGCATTGGATCGATTAAGATGGGAAAAATCGTTCTTTTATGGGATCAGGACCACAGGACAGAACACACCGACTGAAATAAATCGGTTTCTTTTTACGACTCACCGCTCACTAACTATAAATTTTATGAAAAAGATCTGGAACGACGGTGTTCGGGAATGGTTAGCCAGACTGTTAAAGGAAGAGTCAAAAGAATCGGACGAGCCGTGGAATTAACCACTTGCGCTAAAAAGACGTGCCATGCACGTCGAGATGCTTTTGTCTCAAACCGCGAGCGACGTGAGCTCCACGTCGATAGGCATTTATCGCAAAAATGAAAATAACGTGGTGCACACGTCTCCTAACAACGAGATTGTTTATTTCTCGAGATTGTCACCAGCTCTGGATTGCACTTGCAGACGCGGAGCGGCGTAAATGAGACACTTTACTGCTTGTTATAGTGTAGCGCACGGCACCTCAACCGTGAAGTTTAGTCGTAGCGCAAGTGATTAAAAGAATCAACTCAATCAAACGCCAACTCCCTGAAATGATTTCTTTCAGCTGTAGTTTTGAGATTCCCTAAAATTACCTTTCTGAACAGAAATAACTATGAATTTATAGGATGAAAATTCTTTCAAAACGCTGGAAAATGATAAAAACTAAATTCTCATTTACCATGGAAAGATAAACATTCTTTCCCTACTAAAATGGAAATCGATTCTGGCATGCTTCCAACAATAGCTCCGCTAGGCTTTCGTTGTTTCACTAAAGTTTCATCAAGGTGAATCAGTTTGTGAACGAATAGCAGATCTGTATGCCTGGACAATGCCTCTACGCTTCCACCAAGAGAAATTCGTGAAGTATAAAACAGCTACAACACGGTTTTCTAGAATAGGAGTAAATTCACTCAATAAAGTTAATGAGTTCTTTGAATGAGTTCCGGAGCTAATCATCTAACTCTACTGACGATATAAGAATTGGCAACACATTAGCGCAGAAGAAAAAGTTCTTGAAGTGAGTAAAATGTATTTTTTTCATTTTGTCGACTAACAGTATAGCAATTAATCAGCAATAGTACCGCATACAGACAATCAAGTGAAACACTTTGGCAAATTTATAAGGTGTTTCTCTCGCCTTCTTAGCATGGCTTCGTCGTGTAGTGGTCAGCACGCTCGACGCGTATTCGAGAGGTCCGTGGTTCGAGTCCCGGCGAGGGAATTGCTTATTTTTCACATCTCCTACTTCGAAATAACCTAATGTCTCTACAAATTATTACGTTTAAAACATCTTTAATCCGACCTGTTTCAAATATTAGTAAGTATTTTAGGTTTTTAAGATGGGATATAAACATCTGAAAAAGGGTGAACGAGATTGACTCAGAAAGTTACAATAAAAATGAATCTTACGAACGTCACTCTAAAATTTTTCAAATGCAGCTAAATGATACCAATTAAATTTACCAAATCTTAGGTTAGTTCATGGTAGTTTCCTCTAACATCAATGCACTTTTGTTGACGAATTTTCCAAAGATTAAATGTTCCAAATTACCCATTTCTTGGGATCGATGAAAAATATGCTTTTAAAACTTCATCAGTCTCATCTTTAGACTGAAAACGACGGCCCCTTAAATTTTCCTTGCGATTAAAAAGTAGGCAAAATCACACAAAGCAAGACCTGGATAAGAGTGACATAATATGGTTTTTGACTCTCGTAGTGGATGCTCTATCACTTGGATGAGCTTTCTCTGTTCAATAATTTCGGCTGTCACTCTTGCTGAATGAGAGCACGTATTATAATGTGAAGCAGGTATAGGTACAGAAAAAAATTTGGGGGGGGGAGACCAGAGATGTACCGTGAGTCAACTGGTAATACCTTCCTATACTAATTACCCTTAAAAAAAATTGCGACCTGTCTAAGAGCGCACAAAAAAAAAAAAAAAAAAAAAAAAGTTGAATTCTGTCGAGGAGATGTGCATCTGAAGCTTTCCAAAGGATCTCTAAAGTTTATTTGTTATGTACATCGAGCAACCCATGGGGTACATGCAGTTTATTAAAAATAATGATTAATGAGATTACAATACTATATCAATACAATCTGAAATTCACATGGTGAAGCAGGAATTCTTTAATATTCATTCCTTGAAGAATTTCTGGAAGACACTTAGTGATATACAAGGCCAGCGCTAGACGTCCTGCCTCCCGATGCAAGCTCTGCGGGTCCGAAACTCTGTTGTCCCGTGCGTCCCTAAATTCTAAAAATTTTACCATCTTTAAATTTTACTGCTTGTCGCTTCTCTAAAGTGTGTAAATTTTCCTGCCCGGTGAGATTGCACCGGTTGCATCGACTCTGGTAATATACCAGTTAGCTGGAACTGTCTTCTGTCTCTTTAACTTGGTGGCTTTGACCAATCCTGTAATTCTAAAAAAACCAGCATACATTTTTTTTTTTTTTTTTTTGTCTTTTCA